GAAAGTCTTGCTGTTCTGCCATTAAAAGGGTCCACAAGAGGTGAGGATTTATTCAAGTCTTTCATGGAGTTTGCTCAAGAAAAAAGTCTACCTATGGATAAACTTCTCTCAGTGTGTACTGATGGTGCTCCGTGTATGGTGGGGAAAACAAAGGATTTGTGGCGCTTCTCCGTGAACATGAAAATAGACCCATCCTAAGTTTCCATTGCATTATACACCAGGAGGCACTTTGTGCTCAGATGTGTGACAGGCAGTTTGGCGAAGTGATGTCGCTGGTCATTCGTGTGATCAACTTTATTGTTGCCCGAGCCTTAAATGATCGCCTGTTTAAAACACTGCTGGATGAAGTTGTAAATAACTATCCTGGTCTGCTTTTGCACAGCAATGTGCGTTGGTTGTCAAGAGGGAAGGTGCTTAGCCGTTTTGCGGCTTGCCTGAACGAAATCCGGACTTTCCTTGAAATGAAAGGCGTCGGGCATCCTGAGCTAGCCGACACCGAGTGGCTCCTCAAGTTTTACTATCTCGTAGATCTGACTGAACATCTGAACCAGCTCAACGTGAAAATGCAAGGCATTGGAAATACAGTGTTATCCCTTCAACAAGCTGTATTTGCTTTTGAAAACAAGCTGGAGCTTTTCATCACGGATCTTGAAACAGGTCGTTTACTACATTTTGAAAAACTGAGCCAATTTAAAGATGCATGCACAGCAAGTGAGCCCATTCAAAACCTTGATCTCCACCAGCTAGCTGGCTGCACATCCAGTCTCCTACAGTCCTTCAAAGCACGCTTTGGAGAATTTCGTGAGCACACTCGTCTTTTTAAGTTCATCACCCATCCAAACGAGTGTTCACTGAACACAGCCGACCTGAATTACATCCCTGGTGTCTCCGTCAGAGATTTTGAAGCAGAAGTGGCTGACCTGAAGGCCTCAGACATGTGGGTGAATAAGTTCAAGTCACTGAATGAAGATTTGGAAAGAATCACACGACAGAAAGCGGAGTTGGCGAGCAAGCACATGTGGACAGAAATGAAAAAACTCCAACCCGAAGACCAGCTGATTCTCAAAACTTGGAACGCGCTTCCTGTCACATACCACACACTGCAGCGTGTGAGTATTGCTGTATTGACCATGTTTGGATCTACGTATGCATGTGAGCAGTCATTCTCACATCTTAAAAACAACAAGTCCAACCTACGATCACGTTTAACGGATGAAAGCCTCAACGCTTGCATGAAGCTTAACCTCACCAAGTACCAACCCGACTACAAAGACATCAGCAAATCCATGCAGCACCAGAAGTCGCATTAATGGTGAGTGTTATAACAACATTATTTAAAAGAATAAATTCAGAGGCTTATTATACTGACATTTAGTTGAATTCACTTTTAAAATATATTATATGGCTCTCACTGAAATAAATTTCCAAATTTTTTGCTTTCATGGCTCTCTTAGTCAAAAAGGTTCCCGACCCCTGGTGTAGCGGTTAGCGCGCTGCGCTATGAACCTGGCAACCCGGGTTCGATTCCCGCTCACGGCCAACACCAGTGACGATTATTCGAACCGGTCCCGGGCCTCCCTTAGGTCGACTCAGCCTCAAATGAGTACATTGCCACTAGGGAGACAAAGGCGGTTGGGCGTGGTGCTGGCCACCCACCCCCTCGTGTACCGTTTCGGCCTTCATAGGTGCTCGCTAACAGCACTTGCCCCTACAGTCTGTTAAGGCTATATGGGGATCTTTGTCTTGTCTTGTACGTGAGTGTGTCTGTGTACGTGTGAGTGTACGTGTGAGTGTGTGTCTGTGTACGTGTGTGAGTGTGTGTCTGTGAGTGTATGTACATGTATGTACGTGTGAGTGTGTGTCTGTGTACGTGTGAGTGTGTGTCTGAGTACGTGTGAGTGTGTGTCTGTGTACGTGTGTGAGTGTGTGTGTCTGTACCGGGGGAATCTCCATTTGGTACAGCTATAATGGGAGGCTGATCGATGCCCGGGTGCGGTCAAGGGATGGCTCCCTATTGCTCAACCACGTTATGTATGCTGATTTGGTAATAGCTGCTCATTCAGAGGAGGAGTTGGAGACGCTGCTGCTGAGACTGGAGCGTGCCACTAAGAGATGGGGGCCTTACCTTCAGCCACACTAAAACTAAGCACCTGCCTGGATATTTTGTACCATCGGACACTCCACCCCCACAACTCCCAATCGGTGATGGGGCAGTTGTGGAGAGAGTGGAGAGTTTCCCATACCTGGGCAGTGTGCTTATGACTGGCTCCAGTTTAACAGCAGAGGTCTCACTCCGAATCAGTCGAGCGGCAATATCTTTTCATCGGTTGCGTAACGCTGTGTGGAAGCTACCTGGTCTGTCGCTCCGCACTAAGCTTCAGGTCTTCTCGGCCACGGTCATTCCCTCCCTTCTCTACGATTGCGAAACGTGGACCCCCCTAATGGAACATCTTCGCCGGTTAGAAACATTTAGGCTGGCCTGCCTACGATCCATCCTGGGTTTAACCAGACTGGATTGTGTGAGGAGCTCACAAATCCTTGAAAGATCTGGGCAGGGTCCCATCGGTGAGCTCCTCCGGCAGGCAAGGCTGCGATGGCTGGGTCATGTAGCCCGCATGCCCAGCCACCGCATGCCGAAACAGCTTTTGTTTGGCCGGATTGAGGGGGCTAAGCAGGCGCGGCACGGGCTAGAGAAGAGATGGAGTGATGTGGTACAGGAGGACGTGGAGCTGAGTGGACTTGCCGATGACTAGTACCAGCGGTGTCAAGATCGGCCTCTGTGGAGGAGGCTCGTGAAGGATGCTACTGGGCAGTTGGAGGCAGTCGCCCTCCAACAACAACGGAGGGCGGAGGAGCGACGCTCACAACAGCGAGCGGAGCGCCGGGTGGCTAAAGCACAGCAGGTTGGCACAGTAGGGGGCACAGGTGGTGCATCAGCCAGTCATCTCAGTCAGTCGACCCGTGGCACCTGGGTCTGCCCCGTGACCTCCTGCCGGCGGGCGTTCGACACTTCACGTGGCCTCAGGGTGCACATAGCCTGGCACAAGCGTCGTGGTGACGTCACCGCCACTTAGTGGCGAATGGCGGTTGTTGTTGTTGTTAGCGCGCTGCGCTACGAACCCGGCGACCCAAGTTCGATTCCCTCTCACGGCCAACACCGTCAGTGACGATTCTCTGAACCGGTCCTGGGCCTCCCCTAGGTCGACTCAAGCTCAAATGAGTAACCTGGTGCGGTGTGTAGTAAACATCGCCACTGGGGAGACAAAGGCGGCCGGGCGTGGTGCTGGCCACCCACGTCCTCGTGTGCCACAGTGCCGGTAGCCTTGGTAGGTGCTGCTACTCGCGAGCAGCAGCAGCAGCACTTGCCCCGGCAGTCCGTGACAGCCGTCGTGTACACGGTGGTGGGGATTTTTTGCACGCGGCGTTTTATATTAAATATTTGCTGTTTTTTTTCCAGGATGTTTCTGTTACGCGTTGTCGCTTTAAGATGTTCTGTGTTCATATTTTGTTTGTTGCGGCTGCACCCGACTTGAGAGCCGCATGGCTCACAACGCTATCTCCATAGATATAAAAGGCAAAGTTGTGATTGTGCGTGTCTGTTCAAAATGTTTAGCGTACTTCCCGACATGCAACAAACTGGAAATTTGCCACGTGGGTGCTTTCCAGACTGTACACCATCCTAAAATTATAAAAATACACTTTTGCTTTTTCTTTAGGGGGGTAGCTCAATAATGCATCTATTTTTTTTGCACGTCAAGTGAGCTGTGACGTCAAATCTGTCACGTGACCCGCGCACGTGGAAGCGTAACGCGTTGTAGTGTAGTGACCCGAGTTCGATTCCCGCTCACGGCCACCGCCGGTGACGATTATTTTTTTACCAGTCCTGGGCCTTCCCTAGGTCGACTCGGCATCAAACGAGTACCTGCTCTGCTGTGTGAACATCGCCACTGGGGGGACGTGGTGAATCCTCGTCCCGGGCGTAGCCGGGTAGTACAGCTCGTACCTAACAAACTTGAAACTTCGTCTCTCTCTGTGTGCACGCGTGCGCGTGTCTCTCCCCCCACCCACCCACCCCGCCGCAGTGGACCTGCTCGACACGGAGACCGCGCAGGGCGACCTCGGCTGGGTCGCCTCCCCGCCCGACGGGGTGAGTCGAGCGTGGAGGCCACGAGACCTCCGTGGATGTTCGGGGGGGGAGGGGCGTCCATAGATGACGTCACGCACTTAGGGGGCGGGGTCAGACATTTGTGACGATGCGTGACGAGAGAGGGAGGTTTGAGAAATGTGACGTCACATCATCAAAATGCGCAACTTTAAATAAATACAGACAACGCTAAGTTGCCTCGGTGGGAGTAGTTACATTGGAGAAACCAAATGACATGTCTCGGACCGCATTCGTGAACACAAAGCAGACCTGAAACACGGTAGGACCAACACCTCGGCCGTGGCAGATCACTGTTATAATTCAGTAGGCTCACATGACATTGACTTCTCCAAGACAGAGGTTCTTTGCAAGCCATCTGGCTACCATGAGAGATTCGTTCATGAGTCTATTCACATATACAAACACAGAGACAATTTCAACCGAGAAGATGGATTCTGGCTTAGCAATCATTGGAAGGATTTGATAAACCATTTCGGGTCTTAATTGATTGTTCACGCTTACGGTGGCCTTCAGACCTCATCCATTATTTTTCGTCCCCCCCCTCCTCTTTTCCGAACATAGATGGACTCGTCCTTCTGAACTGCCAAATCGCTCTCCGTGGTGCTAACGTTAAAAAAACGCCACTTTTTTCAAAATTTCTTGCTGTGGTTTTCACACCTGATGATGATTATGTTAGGGTCGTCGGCCCCCGGGATCTCTCCTGCCTGCGACCCTGCCCGCGAAGTACCGACGCCCCCAGACTCTCCACTAGTGTGGGAGCTGCCGCCGCTGCACTCCTCACCGGGCAGGGAAGGGCCGCCGCGCTCCTGTTCCCCCCCCTGGGCTGTCGAGAGTGATGCCTTACCGGCAGGAAACCCAATCTTCCTCGCTCGCCTCATGGTCCTTGTCGTGTGCAGGTCCTCGAGGGTTGGTAGATTGCAGGCAATTACCTTCTCAGCAGTGTGGATGATACGCTGCAGTCTGCTCTTGTCCTTGGCAGTGGCAGCAGCGTACCAGACGGTTATGGAGGAGGTGAGGATGGATTCAATGATTGCTGTATAGAATTGCACCATCATTGTCTTTGGCAGGTTGAATTTCTTCAGCTGCCGTAGAAAGTACATCCTCTGTTGAGCTCTCTTGGTGAGGGAGCTGATGTTCAGTTCCCACTTGAGGTCCCGGGAGAGAATAGTGCCCAGGAAGCGGAAGGACTCTACAATTTTGACTGGGGAGTCTAACAGGGTGATGGGGGTGAGTGGGGCTGTATTCTTCCTGAAGTCCACAACCATCTCAACTGTCTTTAGAGCATTTAGCTCTAAGTTGTTCTGGCTACACCAGGTCACAAGGTTGTCAGCTTCCCACCTATAGTCAGACTCATCCCCACCAGAGATCAGCCCAATGAGGGTGGTGTCGTCCGCAAACTTCAAGAGTTTGACGGACAGATGATTGGAGGTGCAGCTGTTGGTATACAGAGAGAAGAGCAGTGGGGAAAGGACGCAGCCCTGAGGAGTTCTGGTGCTGATGGAGCTGGAGTCAGAGACTTGTGTTCCCAGCTTAACGCACTGCTTCCTGTCAGACAGGAAGTCTGTGATCCAGTAGGGCACGTTCAGCTGGAAGAGCTTGTCCTGAAGCAGGGCAGGGATGATGGTGTTGAAGGCAGAGCTGAAGTCCACAAACAGGATCCTAGCGTAGGATGCTGGGGCGTCCAGATGCTGTAGGATGAAGTGGAGGGCCATGTTAACTGCGTCGTCCACAGACCTGTTGGCTCTGTAGGCAAACTGAAGGGGGTCCAGGAGAGGGTCTGTGATGGCTTTGAGGTGTGCCAGGACCAGGCGCTCAAAAGACTTCATTACCACAGATGTAAGGGCGACCGGTCTGTAATCATTTAGTCCTGTTGGCCTTAGCTTTTTGGGCACAGGGATGATGGTGGAGGACTTGAGACAGGCTGGTACATGGCATGTCTCCAGGGAGGTGTTAAAGAGGTAGGTGAACACCGGAGACAGCTGGTCAGCGCAGTGCCTGAGGGTGGCTGGAGAGACAGAGTCCGGCCCGGCTGCTTTGCGTGGATTCTGCCTCTTGAAAAGTCTATTAACGTCTCCCTCCTGAAAGGAGAGAGTCGTCTCTGTAGTATGGGTGGGGGATGGGGCCTCTTGAGTTGGAAGGGGTAGTTCAGGACAGTCCAATTGTCTTTCAAATCTGCAGTAGAACTCGTTCAGGTCGTTGGCCAGGCGGGAGTCGTTAGTGGTGTGGGGAGCTCTGGGCTTGTAGTTGGTGATCTGCCTGAGCCCTCTCCAGACAGAAGCAGAGTCGTTAGTAGAGAACTGGTGTTTTAGTCTCTCTGAGTACAGTCGTTTAGCCTCTCTCACCGCTTTGCTAAACCTGTTCTTCGACTCCTTGAATCTGTCTCTATCTCCACTCCTAAACGCTTCCTCCTTCTCCAACCTCAACCTTCTGAGCTTTGCTGAGAACCAGGGCTTGTTGTTGTTAAAGTTCACCCTGTTACTTGTTGGGATACAGCAGTCCTCACAGAAGCTGATGTAGGACGTCACAGCCTCTGTGAGTTCATCCAGACTATTGGTAGCAGTCGTGAACATATCCCAGTCAGTACAGTCTAAGCACGCCCGCAAATCTTCCACAGCCTCACTGGTCCACTGTTTAGATGTCCTCACAGCAGGTTTACAGAGTTTTAGTTTCTGCCTGTATGCAGGAATCAGGTGGACCATGGCATGGTCAGAGTGTCCTAGTGCTGCTCGGGGGACGGCGTGGTAGGCTCTACTGACTGTAGTGTAGCAGTGATCCAGAGTGTTCCCTTCTCTGGTTGGGCATTTAATGAATTGTATGTATTTGGGGAGTTCGTGGCTGAGATTACCTTTGTTAAAGTCGCCAAGTACGATAACCAACGAATCTGGATTTGCTCGCTCCACACTCAGAATCTGATCGGCGAGCATGCGTTGGGCCTCTTTAACCTGAGGACACGGCGGCAAATAAACTCCGACCAAAATGAGCGACAGAATCACTGTGACATCTACACTCCCCCCCACACTCCCTCCCACACTCCACTCCCTCTCCCCTCACCACGACCGCAGTGGCAGCAGCCTACGAGTGGCCAACGCTCAAGGCCCAGGCTGTACCAGGCGCAGTGCCGCCCCGCCGTGCCCAGGCAGGACAAGTGCCTGCGCACCGCCTGGATCCCGCGCGGCGACGCTCGCCGCATCTTTCTCGAGTTCCGCTTCAGCTTACGGCGCCGGTGCCCCCGTCGCCTCCCGGCCGCCGCCGCCTCCGCCACCGTCTGCGACGACGACACGTTGGACGTTTACTACCGGGAGTCGGACGACCCCGGCGACGTCGCCGCCGGGGTCTTCGCCGACGACGAGCGGCGGCTCTTCTCCAAGGTCGACGTCGTCGGCTCGGGCGGGTCGGAGGTCGAGGCGGCGGGCGACGTGGGGCCCCTCTCCCGGGGCGGCCTCCGTCTGGCGTTCCGCGACACGGGGGCCTGCGCGTGGCTGGCGTCCGTGCGCATCTACCGCAGGCGCTGCCCGCCTCGCCGAGTTCCCCGATGCTCCGGCCGCCGGCGACGGGCCGTGGGCGCTGTCGGAGGTGACGGGGGCGTGCGTGGGCCACGCGCTCCGGCCCGAGGGGGAGCCGGAGCCGGCGATGTTCTGCAACGCCGACGGCGAGTGGGAGGGCCACCCCGGGAGCTGCGTCTGCCGTGCCGGGTACCAGCAGGCGAGGAACGCCTGCCAAGGTGACGCGTTGGGATTTGTTTTAGTAGATTCATCATCGCTTACCCTCGAGAGAGATGTGGAAAGACCCAGCGGACCTCCCACACACTCACTCGCCCACTCACCCACTCACTCACCCACTCACTCACCCACCCACCCACCTACTCACTCACTCACCCACCCACCCACCCAACCACTTATCCTCCCACCCACTCACTCACTCACCCACTGACTCACCCACTCACTCACTCAACCACTCACCCACCCACTCACTCACTCGCCCACCCACTCACTCACTCACCCACCCACCCACTCACTCACTCACCCATTCACCCAACCACTCACTCACCCACTCACTCACCCACTCACCCACTCACCCACCCACTCACCCACCCACATACCTACTCATCCACTCACTCACCCACTTTCTCACTCACCCAACCACTTACCCACCCATGCACTCTCTCACCCACCCCATCTCATCTCTCTCCCCATCTGCTCATCTCTCTCCCCATCTGCTCATCTCTCTCCCCATCTCTCGCTAGTGACAGCACCAACAGTCTGTAAAGGTTCATAATAAAGGTGTTAAACTGAGTCTGTAAAGGCTACAGGTCGGGGGGCGGGACCTTTGTGCGTGCAGTGTGTGAGCAGGGCTCTTATAAGGAGACGGCCCAAGACAGCTCCTGCTCCCGGTGTCCGCCACACAGCACGGGCAGCGTCATCGGAGCGACGTCCTGCACCTGCCACGATGGATACTTCCGGCCCAGCGGCGAGCCCCAGTCTGTGGCCTGTGCAAGTTCGTTCACTATGCGCCATACACTACACTATACACTACTACACTATACACTACTACACTACACTATACAGTACTACACTACACTATACACTACACTACTACACTACACTATACACTACTACACTACACTATACACTACACTATACACTATCTACTACACTACACTACACACTACACTATACACTACACTATACACTACACTATACACTACTACACTACACTATACACTACACTACTACACTACACTATACACTACACTATACACTACTACACTGCACTATACACTACTACACTATACTATACACTACTACACTACACTATACACTACTACACTACACTCTACACTACTACACTACACTATACACTACTACACTATACACTACACTATACACTACCTACTACACTACACTATACACTACACTATAAACTACTACCCTACACTATACACTACACTCTACACTACTATACACTACACTATACACTACCTACTACACTACACTATACACTACACTATACACTACACTATACACTACTACTATACAGTACTACACTACACTATACACTACTACGCTATACACTACACTATACACTACACTATACACTACCTACTACACTACTCTATAAACTCCGTTCCGCCCCCCCCCCCGGCCAGAGCCACCGTCGGCCCCCAGGGACGTCGTCACCTCGCCGCTCTCCGCCGCCGCCTCGGTGACGCTCCGGTGGAGCCCGCCGGCGAATCCCGGCGGGCGCTCCGACCTCGCCTACTCCGTCGTGTGCCGGCTCCACCCGCCCCCCCGGTGGGGGGGGGGTGGGGAGAGGGGCCAGGAGCCGGCGCCGCTGTGCGGCCCGGCCGTGAGGTTCCGGCCTCCGCTCCCGCTGACGAACGCCTCGGTGGAGGTGAGCGGCCTGCGTGAGAACGCCGCCTACACCCTGGAGGTGCACGCCACCAACGGCGTCTCCCGCCTGAGTGGCGTCCCCTCGGCGTTCGCGGCCGTCCACGTCGCCACGTCACGGGATCGTGAGTCGTCGTCCCCCCCCCCTCCTCTCGCTCACGGCCATCGTCTTTCTTTTTTTGAAATCTCTTTTTCATCTTTAGATATTTAGTTGCTTTTGTCAAATATTTTTTTTCTATCTTTTTTTAAATGGTTTTTTAAAATATTTTTTAAAAAATACATTCTCCTTTTTTAAAAGCTATAACATGCACATAACATTATAATAATATTATTCTTAAATGCTATGCAAAAACATGATAATTATATTATGATTAAAGACAATGCCGCCTGCATTTGCAGCCAGCCAATCACCACTCTGCATCTTAGTTGGCCGTCTGCATTTGCAGCCAGCTCTGCATCTTAATTATCCGCCTGCCTTTGCAGCCAGCCAATCACCGCTCTGCATCTTAGTTGTCCGCCTGCATTTGCAGCCAGCCAATCACCGCTCTGCATCTTAGTTGGCCGCCTGCATTGGCAGCCAGCCAATCACCGCTCTGCATCTTAGTTGTCCGCCTGCATTTGCAGCCAGCCAATCACCGCTCTGCATCTAAATTGTCCGCCTGCATTTGCAGCCAGCCAATCACCGCTCTGCATCTAAATTGGCCGCCTGCATTTGCAGCCAGCCAATCACCGCTCTGCATCTTAGTTATCTGCCTGCATTTGCAGCCAGCCAATCACTGCTCTGCATCTAAATTGTCTGCCTGCATTTGCAGCCAGCCAATCAACGCTCTGCATCTAAATTGGCCGCCTGCATTTGCAGCCAGCCAATCACCGCTCTGCATCTTAGTTGTCCGCCTGCATTTGCAGCCAGCCAATCACCACTCTGCATCTAAATTGTCCGCCTGCATTTGCAGCCAGCCAATCACCGCTCTGCATCTAAATTGGCCGCCTGCATTTGCAGCCAGCCAATCACCGCTCTGCATCTAAATTGGCCGCCTGCATTTGCAGCCAGCCAATCACCGCTCTGCATCTTAGTTGTCCGCCTGCATTTGCAGCCAGCCAATCACCACTCTGCATCTAAATTGTCCGCCTGCATTTGCAGCCAGCCAATCACCGCTCTGCATCTAAATTGGCCGCCTGCATTGGCAGCCAGCCAATCACCGCTCTGCATCTTAGTTGTCCGCCTGCATTTGCAGCCAGCCAATCACCGCTCTGCATCTAAATTGTCCGCCTGCATTTGCAGCCAGCCAATCACCGCTCTGCATCTAAATTGGCCGCCTGCATTTGCAGCCAGCCAATCACCGCTCTGCATCTTAGTTATCTGCCTGCATTTGCAGCCAGCCAATCACTGCTCTGCATCTAAATTGTCTGCCTGCATTTGCAGCCAGCCAATCAACGCTCTGCATCTAAATTGGCCGCCTGCATTTGCAGCCAGCCAATCACCGCTCTGCATCTTAGTTGTCCGCCTGCATTTGCAGCCAGCCAATCACCATTCTGCATCTAAATTGTCCGCCTGCATTTGCAGCCAGCCAATCACCGCTCTGCATCTAAATTGGCCGCCTGCATTTGCAGCCAGCCAATCACCGCTCTGCATCTAAATTGGCCGCCTGCATTTGCAGCCAGCCAATCACCGCTCTGCATCTTAGTTGTCCGCCTGCATTTGCAGCCAGCCAATCACCACTCTGCATCTAAATTGTCCGCCTGCATTTGCAGCCAGCCAATCACCGCTCTGCATCTAAATTGGCCGCCTGCATTTGCAGCCAGCCAATCACCGCTCTGCATCTTAGTTGTCCGTCTGCATTTGCAGCCAGCCAATCACCACTCTGCATCTAAATTGTCCGCCTGCATTTGCAGCCAGGCAATCACCGCTCTGCATCTAAATTGGCCGCCTGCATTTGCAGCCAGCCAATCACCACTCTGCATCTAAATTGTCCGCCTGCATTTGCAGCCAGCCAATCACCGCTCTGCATCTAAATTGGCCGCCTGCATTTGCAGCCAGCCAATCACCGCTCTGCATCTAAATTGGCCGCCTGCATTTGCAGCCAGCCAATCACCGCTCTGCATCTTAGTTGTCCGCCTGCATTTGCAGCCAGCCAATCACCACTCTGCATCTAAATTGTCCGCCTGCATTTGCAGCCAGCCAATCACCGCTCTGCATCTAAATTGGCCGCCTGCATTGGCAGCCAGCCAATCACCGCTCTGCATCTTAGTTGTCCGCCTGCATTTGCAGCCAGCCAATCACCGCTCTGCATCTAAATTGTCCGCCTGCATTTGCAGCCAGCCAATCACCGCTCTGCATCTAAATTGGCCGCCTGCATTTGCAGCCAGCCAATCACTGCTCTGCATCTTAGTTATCTGCCTGCATTTGCAGCCAGCCAATCACTGCTCTGCATCTAAATTGTCTGCCTGCATTTGCAGCCAGCCAATCAACGCTCTGCATCTAAATTGGCCGCCTGCATTTGCAGCCAGCCAATCACCGCTCTGCATCTTAGTTGTCCGCCTGCATTTGCAGCCAGCCAATCACCGCTCTGCATCTAAATTGGCCGCCTGCATTTGCAGCCAGCCAATCACCGCTCTGCATCTAAATTGGCCGCCTGCATTTGCAGCCAGCCAATCACCGCTCTGCATCTTAGTTGTCCGCCTGCATTTGCAGCCAGCCAATCACCACTCTGCATCTAAATTGTCCGCCTGCATTTGCAGCCAGCCAATCACCGCTCTGCATCTAAATTGGCCGCCTGCATTTGCAGCCAGCCAATCACCGTTCTGCATCTTAGTTGTCTGCCTGCATTTGCAGCCAGCCAATCACGGCTCTGCATCTAAATTGGCCGCCTGCATTTGCAGCCAGCCAATCACCGCTCTGCATCTTAGTTGTCCGTCTGCATTTGCAGCCAGCCAATCACCACTCTGCATCTAAATTGTCCGCCTGCATTTGCAGCCAGGCAATCACCGCTCTGCATCTAAATTGTCCGCCTGCATTTGCAGCCAGCCAATCACCGCTCTGCATCTTAGTTGTCCGCCTGCATTTGCAGCCAGCCAATCACCGCTCTGCATCTAAATTGTCCGCCTGCATTTGCAGCCAGCCAATCACCGCTCTGCATCTAAATTGTCCGCCTGCATTTGCAGCCAGCCAATCACCGCTCTGCATCTTAGTTGTCCGCCTGCATTTGCAGCCAGCCAATCACCGCTCTGCATCTAAATTGGCCGCCTGCATTTGCAGCCAGCCAATCACCGCTCTGCATCTTAGTTGTCCGCCTGCATTTGCAGCCAGCCAATCACTGCTCTGCATCTAAATTGGCCGCCTGCATTTGCAGCCAGCCAATCACCGCTCTGCATCTAAATTGGCCGCCTGCATTTGCAGCCAGTCAATCACCGCTCTGCATCTTAGTTGTCCGCCTGCATTTGCAGCCAGCCAATCACCACTCTGCATCTAAGTTGTCCACCTGCATTTGCAGCCAGCCAATCACCGCTCTGCATCTAAATTGGCCGCCTGCATTTGCAGCCAGCCAATCACCGCTCTGCATCTTAGTTGTCCGCCTGCATCTGCAGCCAGCCAATCACCGCTCTGCATCTAAATTGGCCGCCTGCATTTGCAGCCAGGCAATCACCGCTCTGCATCTAAATTGGCCGCCTGCATTTGCAGCCAGCCAATCACCGCTCTGCATCTTAGTTGTCCGCCTGCATTTGCAGCCAGCCAATCACCGCTCTGCATCTAAATTGTCCGCCTGCATTTGCAGCCAGGCAATCACCGCTCTGCATCTAAATTGGCCGCCTGCATTTGCAGCCAGCCAATCACCGCTCTGCATCTTAGTTGTCCGCCTGCATTTGCAGCCAGCCAATCACCGCTCTGCATCTAAATTGTCCACCTGCATTTGCAGCCAGGCAATCACCGCTCTGCATCTAAATTGGCCGCCTGCATTTGCAGCCAGCCAATCACCGCTCTGCATCTTAGTTGTCCGCCTGCATTTGCAGCCAGCCAATCACCGCTCTGCATCTAAATTGGCCGCCTGCATTTGCAGCCAGCCAATCACCGCTCTGCATCTTAGTTGTCTGCCTGCATTTGCAGCCAGCCAATCACTGCTCTGCATCTAAATTGGCCGCCTGCATTTGCAGCCAGCCAATCACCGCTCTGCATCTAAATTGGCCGCCTGCATTTGCAGCCAGTCAATCACCGCTCTGCATCTTAGTTGTCCGCCTGCATTTGCAGCCAGCCAATCACCACTCTGCATCTAAATTGTCCGCCTGCATTTGCAGCCAGCCAATCACCGCTCTGCATCTAAATTGGCCGCCTGCATTTGCAGCCAGCCAATCACCGCTCTGCATCTTAGTTGTCCGCCTGCATCTGCAGCCAGCCAATCACCGCTCTGCATCTAAATTGGCCGCCTGCATTTGCAGCCAGCCAATCACCGCTCTGCATCTTAGTTGTCTGCCTGCATTTGCAGCCAGCCAATCACCGCTCTCCATCTAAATTGTCCTCCTGCATTTGCAGCCAGCCAATCACCGCTCTGCATCTAAATTGGCCGCCTGCATTTGCAGCCAGCCAATCACCGCTCTGCATCTTAGTTGTCCGCCTGCATTTGCAGCCAGCCAATCACCGCTCTGCATGTAAATTGTCCGCCTGCATTTGCAGCCAGCCAATCATCGCTCTTCATCTTAGTTGTCCGCCTGCATTTGCAGCCAGCCAATCACCGCTCTGCATCTAAATTGTCCGCCTGCATTTGCAGCCAGCCAATCACCGCTCTGCATCTTATTTGGGCGTCTCTCGCTGCTCCTGTTCGCCCCGATGCGACCTCACACATCCGTGCACACCGCTTGCAAACCCCCCCAGCGCGCGCGTTACTCCACTACACATGTAACATTATAATTATATTATTCTTAATGCATATACCACTCTAATTATTATTCTTAAAGACAATGCATCATCTGTTATAATTATCATCATCATAGCCATGTTCGCATGTTCACCACAAAGCACCGCGTGTGTGGCTGTTGCAAGTTGAGTTGATTGCTCGCAAAGCGGCGTCCGTCTGCTTGGTGTTTGAACATCTCACCGCAACTCGTATTTCATTCAGCAGCAAGGGGAAACGCACACCGATTGTCACTCACCGCACCTCGAGACGTTGGCCAGGGGGGTAAACAAACGAGTTAGCGCGTGACCACGTGCTGTGATTGCCCGCAGCACCGTCACCCGTGGTGCGTGTCCACACGGAGATCGTCTCTGAAGACGCCGTCCTGTTGACCTGGGCCGAGCCGGAGCAGCCCAATGGCATCGTTATGGACTATGAAGTCAAATGCTTTGACGAGGTGCGTAGCGGCTCGCGATTATCCATTTTACTTGCGCGCGTGTGAATGTGCACGTGCGTGCGTGCTGAGCGGTGGTGCAGCGGTACGCGCTACGCTGCGCTACGAACCCGGCGTCTCGAGTTCGATTCCCGCTCACGGCAACCGGCACCGGTGACGATAATCTGAACGAGTCCTGGGTCTCCCCTAGGTCGACTCAGCCTCAAATTGAGTACCCTGGTGCGGTGTGTAGTAAACATTGTTGTATATATAGGTGTTATGAAAATTGATGAAAATAATGAAAATTAAATTAAATTTGAGATTCGCATAATTTATCCGAAATTATGTTAATCAGTGTAATTATGCGCATAAATTATGCTGATTCGAGAGATAATCGTATTAATTTATGCGAGTGAGCGTGGTTATGATAATGCAGGTCGTTATGGATTATCAGGTCGAGCCTCGGTGACGAGGATTGTGTTATGAATTGGAATAACGCAATTAATCGTATGCAGTGACGCAGGCGTTGTGAGCGTGAATGAGAGAGAGTCGATTCGACTCTGCTCTTTAATTCCGTATTATCGATAAGGATACGATTAAATTTCGATTTAAAGCTTTCGTGACTGCAATGATTCATCTTCTTTGGTTCTTTCGGTAAAGTCACGTAGAATGAGAATAAAATAATAAATTGATAAAATAAAATAACACAATAATATTCTCACGACGTTTCGGCCACAACATAAGCGGCCTTCATCAGGTGAAGGGAGCGAGACTGTCTGGTAGGACAGCGCTGGAGTGAGAGAGCCACGTTCAGATCACGGCTTTTAAGCTGTGTGAGAGGAACAAAGAGCCTTGACGAAGGAATTAGCATAAAATTTAGCATTGAAATGGCTGAATGATTAGCTTGTGACTGGTCACAGAAATAGCTATGTTAAAAGTTAAAGCATACACATCCGCAGAGGCACCCATTGTTAAAAGGAATTAGCATAGAATTTAGCATTGATATAGCTAAATTAAGGCATACACATCTGCAGAGGCACCCCTTGATAATGGGATTAGCATAGAATTTAGCATTGAAATGGCTGAGTGATTCGCTTGTAACTGCTACAGAAATAGTTACGTTGAAGTCAGAGCATACACATTCACCGAGGCACTTAGTACAAATCAAACAGGAGAATTTAGCATTGAAATAACTAGGCGAATTTAGCATTGAAATAACTGGGTGATTTGCTAGTGACTGGTCACAGAAATGACTACACATCTGAGCTATTCACAGTACTATATAGTGAACCAATAAAAACTAAAATATAAATTACCTTCATGTTATCAATAAACTCTATATTCTCCAATCAGCTAAGCTACCAACCATAAGTCGTTATATATCACAATGCTATATGGCGAAAAAATGGGTGGATTCTTACCCTCAAATTTCCGTACCACGGATAGCTACGGGCCCCGTTCAGACGGACGAGTTCGTCCATGGTCGGAACAGAGGAGGGGGAGAGAGACAGCTGCGAAGCCCTAGTATACTCCATGTTGTAAACCATACCATTAACCGTGGTGTGAGAGGTATTAAGAGGCAATGCTGGCGAAAGAGCTGCGGTCTGAAGGTCATCGTAAAATTACAATTAATTAAGAACAGAAATGATTTAACACATCTTTCCAGTGTTTACTAAGCCTGAATCCATCTTCTCGGTTGAAATTGTCTCTGTGCTTGTATATGTGAATGGCCTCATGAACGAATCTCTCATCGTAGCCAGTTGGTTTGCAAAGAACCTCCGTCTTGGAGAAGTCAATGTCATGTGAGCCCACTGAATTGTAACAGTGATCTGCCACGGCAGAGGAGTTCGTCTTACCGTGTTTCAAGTCTGCTTTATGTTCGCGGATGCGGTCCGAGATATGTCTTTTGGTTTCTCCAATGTAGCTACTACCACAGAATCCTGAATAAACACAAGATCCAGGTCCGATTCAACACAGTACACAAAATCCGTGATTTAGTTCCATCTGTAAAAGATGCTCTTCCAGACATACAGTACCCGGGCGTTTACAAACTAAAGTGCCTCTGTGGTAGTAGCTACATTGGAGAAACCAAAAGACATATCTCGGACCGCATCCGCGAACATAAAGCAGACTTGAAACACGGTAAGACGAACTCCTCTGCCGTGGCAGATCACTGTTACAATTCAGTGGGCTCACATGACATTGACTTCTCCAAGACGGAGGTTCTTTGCAAACCAACTGGCTACCATGAGAGATTCGTTCATGAGGCCATTCACATATACAAGCACAGAGACAATTTCAACCGAGAAGATGGATTCAGGCTTAGTAACCACTGGAAAGATGTGTTAAATCATTTCTGTTCTTAATTAATTGTAATTTTACGATGACCTTCAGACCGCAGCTCTTTCGCCAGCATTGCCTCTTAATACCTCTCACACCACGGTTAATGGTATGGTTTACAACATGGAGTATACTAGGGCTTCGCAGCTGTCTCTCTCCCCCTCCTCTGTTCCGACCATGGACGAACTCGTCCGTCTGAACGGGGCCCGTAGCTATCCGTGGTACGGAAATTTGAGGGTAAGAATCCACCCATTTTTTCGCCATATAGCATTGTGATATATAACGACTTATGGTTGGTAGCTTAGCTGATTGGAGAATATAGAGTTTATTGATAACATGAAGGTAATTTATATTTTAGTTTTTATTGGTTCACTATATAGTACTGTGAATAGCTCAGATGTGTAGTCATTTCTGTGACCAGTCACTAGCAAATCACCCAGTTATTTCAATGCTAAATTCGCCTAGTTATTTCAATGCTAAATTCTCCTGTTTGATTTGTACTAAGTGCCTCGGTGAATGTGTATGCTCTGACTTCAACGTAACTATTTCTGTAGCAGTTACAAGCGAATCACTCAGCCATTTCAATGCTAAATTCTATGCTAATCCCATTATCAAGGGGTGCCTCTGCGGATGTGTATGCCTTAATTTAGCTATTTCAATGCTAAATTCTATGCTAATTCCTTTTAACAATGGGTGCCTCTGCGGATGTGTATGCTTTAACTTTTAACATAGCTATTTCTGTGACCAGTCACAAGCTAATCATTCAGCCATTTCAATGCTAAATTTTATGCTAATTCCTTCGTCAAGGCTCTTTGTTCCTCTCACACAGCTTAAAAGCCGTGATCTGAACGTGGCTCTCTCACTCCAGCGCTGTCCTACCAGACAGTCTCGCTCCCTTCACCTGATGAAGGCCGCTTGTGTTGTGTCCGAAACGTCGTGAGAATATTATTGTGTTATTTTATTTTATCAATTTATTATTTTATTCTCATTCTACGTGACTTTACCGAAAGAACCAAAGAAGAAGGATACGATTACTCTCGATTGAACATTATGAATTATGTGTGTTATGGATTATGTGTGGTGATAGTGTGCTTATGATAGGTCCCCAGGATTCAGATCTCATACGCAGAACAATATTATGCAGGATTTCAGGAAGAATCACACACAAACGTTCTGTTTTTATCAATTTTTTTTCTAGCTAACTTTAATTTTTGGATAATATGAAAACTCAATCTCGGGATTTGGAATTTCAACACAGCGTTAACATGATAACATCACGATTGCGTTGTTTCACCTCGATAGCGGCACCTGTGGTTAATTCCCGACGCGTAACGCAATCGATCGGTTGTTGAGAGAGAGATTAAAAATATGCGAACTATTCTATCAAACCTTAACTTTATAATATGCAAACTCGTATACTTGAATTGTTACACAATACGGCACTTGGTCTTTGATTTGTATCCAATCCTTAATACATTCTGATATGCGAAGTTATTATGCTTGAAATCGTCAGCACAGTACCACGTTCATGTTCGTTCATTGATTCATAACGATTATGAATTTAAAGCGTTCGACTGAAATACTTCTAATTACCTTATCAACAACACTCGATGGCCGCAATGCTTCGTTACTTGAATTGTCACACAACACAGCATTCGGTCATTGATCATGCGCGGCCCTTAATGCAATTATTGTCACGTTGTTAACAATAGGATGACTAATTATTATGCAACGCTACTCGTTGAAAGGGCACTCCAACCAGTATTATTCTTGGAGGCACAAATATGCGTTTGAATTCGTTATTTCATTCGTGGATACCAGCAAGATTATGTAGAAAGAAAATATTAACGAACGACTCAAGTATTTCTAATCGACTTCTCAACGCGACTCAATGGGTGGCGATGTTTCCTTTTTAGATCCTTATCTCGGGCCAATCTTTTAATTAATTGTGGCCAGATCCCTGACAGGGAACCGGTTGAGCACGCTCTTCACCCCCGCGAGCGGCGCTCCGTGGTGAGGTGCCAAGAATTAATCCTTGTTAATGGGTCAGTTGGTAATTTATGCGGTTAGAAGTACAGCCCCAGCACAATATTACAGAGGAAAATTATGAACACTCTTAAAAACGATGGATTATTCACTCGGTCGTTGCGATGTTTCCACAATCAGGGATGGTTCAATGGCTTGAGGTTTTAGGCTTTGTTAATGACCCGTGTGTGTGTGTGTTGAATGGTATGAGTGGTGAAAGAGTAGGCCAATGTTCGGAATCGATTCTTTGCGTCAAGCAGACGTCTGGTTTGTCGTGTAGTGGGGGGCAGTGTATCATACGTATCAGTTGATTCTTCTTTCAGTAGTTGGTTCGGACTCGACGGAAGTTGGTGAACGAGTAGATACGCTCTTTTGCTGCCCGTGTGCAGGGTGGGGTGGGGGCCACTACTAAGTCCCGTGTGTGGCAGATGGTCCCCGCGATAACGATCTGTTTGCCCTGGCGTGAAATTCCTCTCTCGCGCTCTTTGGGAGAGACAAAGGTGGTCGGGAGCACCTCTTTATACTTTCGACTTATATTTCTCAAATACCATTTGGTCCCATGTTCGCCAAGACTCGTGTTTGTAACTACGTCCTCCCGACACCTCTCGGTTTTACCGAGGTTCGAATTGTTATGATAGAATTATTAAAAAGAAAAATAATTATCATCCTGAGTTTAAGAGGTCCGTTTCTTGATTGTTGGAATCCATATCCCTTGGTTCTGTAAGGTTCTATAATGGAATGTCGTGTAAGGTTAACACGTTGTTATTATTAATATTATATTGCAATTTTCTTTAAAACTGTCTTTGCCTGGTTGCCGTGTGTGGGGTGGGGTGTGTCTCCTCATCAAACCCGGCTGGCTTTTCCAGATGGCCCCTTGTGATAAGGTGTAATTCCTGCTTCTCCGCGCTGTGAGAGGGACAAAGGTGGTCGGGGTTGCTTGGGATATTGTTTAAATTCTTTTGCAAGTTTACCCGTTGTCTCATTCCTTCTCGATAACCTTTGATGTGACTCGGTATTCCTGCTCCAAGCTTTGTTTTAACAGTAAAGTATTAAAGGTGAAAATCATTTGATAGCGAATGAATCATTGGATAATATTCACTGATGTGTCTGGTGGCCTGTTCTTAATTGGAGTGAGCGTTAGGATCGCTAATTCTATCTTATTCTTGTTGTTGCCTTTTTTTACTGGCAAATAAGGAAAAGAATATGTATACGATTTACCCTGTTGGCGTCTCTGTGTCTACTCTCTTGGTGTTCTGACCTCAGAGGGACCTTTCCTAAGGGCCCATCAAACTCTTGTTCACCTGGAGATTTTTGCCGATAGCTGTTACATCCTCGCCTTGAGAGTTTTATTATTTCTTTATATATATGGCCTGTTTATGACCGACATCTGGTTTTTCGTGTTTCTGGCTTATGGGTTTTATTCATTAAAAAATATAAATTGTTTGTCACGAAAGAAAGGAAAAAGAAATCTAGGTGTATGCATCCGTAAATATTCTTATGGATATTAATTGTGGAAAAAGGGCCGTATACAACAACATCACCACTGTGGATACAAAGGCGGCCGGGCGTGGTGCTGACCACCCACCCCCTCGTGTGCCTCCATAGGTGGCCGCTAACAGCACTCGCCCCGACAGTCTGCTGACACTATACGGGGGTTCTTTGTCTTTGCATTAGCAAGTGGAGGGCAGTAGAGTTAACACAACAATATGCTGTGAACCACGTGACCCAGGTTCAATGGGTCTCTGTGGGATGAGTCTGAACCCATCCCCCCCCCATCTGTACCCCCCCCATCTGTACCCCCCCCCCCCATCTGTACCCCCCCCCCACCAGGATGACGACGACGAGAGAGAGGTAATGAGGCTGCTCTCCAGCGTGCCGAGCGTCACCGTGACGGGGCTCCGGCATGCCGCGGTTTACTCACTGCAGGTCCGCGCTCGCAACGCCGCCGGCTACGGAGACTACAGCCCCACACTCCACTTCCAGACGTCTCCCGCACGTGAGCAACAACACCACCATCCAATCACCACCACCCAATCACCACCACCACCACCCAATCACCACCACCACCCAATCACCACCACCACCCAATCACCACCACCACCCAATCATCACCACCACCCAATCCAGCCACCACCCACCACCACCAGCCACCACCACCCAATCACCACCAACCAGCATCAACCCTACCCAACCACTACCCAACCACTACCCACCCACCACCAACCAGCACCAACCCCACCACCACCAACCACCACCAACCCCACCACCACCAACCCCCAACCACCACCCCACCACCACCAACCAGCACCACCACTCACCAACAATCACCACCCACCCACCACCAACCACTACCAACCCCACCACCACCAACCAGTACCAACCCCACCACCACCAACCACCACCCCAGCACCATCCCCACCCAACCACTACGCCGCCACCACCACCACCCTACCACCACCACTCACCACCACCAGTCACCAGCACCACTCACCAGCACCATCCCCATCACCTCAGCACCATCCCCACCCAACCACTACGCCACCACCACCACCACCCATCCACCACCACTCACCAGCACCATCCCCACCCAACCACTACGCCACAAGGACCACCACCACCACCACCACCCACCACCACCACCACTCACCAGCACCATCCCATCCCAACCACTACGCCACCACCACCACCACCCATCCACCACCCCTCACCAGCACCATCCCCACCCAACCACTACGCCACAAGGACCACCACCACCACTCACCAGCACCATCCCCACCCAACCACTACGCCACCACCAACCCCACTACCAACCTACCACGACCCCACCAACAGCACCACCACCCCACCCCTCCTGTCTGTTGTAGTTGTTGTGGTTGTTGTTGTAGGTGTTGTCCTGTTGTTTGTTGTTGTGTTGGTGGTTATTGTGGTGTTGTTGTAGTTGTTGTGGTTGTTGTTGTAGGTGTTGTCCTGTTGTTTGTTGTTGTGTTGGTGGTTATTGTGGTGTTGTTGTAGTTGTTGTGGTTGTTGTTGTAGGTGTTGTCCTGTTGTTTGTTGTTGTGTTGGTGGTTATTGTGGTGTTGTTGTAGTTGTTGTGTTTGTTGTTGTAGGTGTTGTCCTGTTGTTTGTTATTGTGTTGGTGGTTATTGTGGTGTTGTTGTGGTTGTTGTTGTTGTGGTTGTTGTGGTTGTTGTAGTAAGTGAAGGATGTGTTTGTGACGCTTTCCCTCCCCCTCCCCCAGCACAAGCGACTCAGGAAGTGGCCCTCTGGGCCTCCTCGCTGTCCGCTGGCCTCGTGGGGCTGATGCTGCTCATCGCTGCTGCCTGCATCATCATCAAGAAGAGGTGGGGGGGGTCACACTGGGGGAGGGGGGTCACACTGGGGGGTCACACTGGGGGGGGTCACACTGGGGGGGTCACACTGGGGGGGGTCACACTGGGGGGGGGTCACACTGGGGGGGGGTCACACTGGGGGGGGGGGTCACACTGAGGGGGTCACACTGGTGGGGTCCCACTGGCGTTCTGAGTGTGCCCACGTGATCTGGCTGCACCACCAAGAGGCAATCTCCCTGAACGTTGGCTAAGAGGCGGCACCCTCCAGAGCGAACTCGCTTCTTCAGCACTGCCGCCGCCGCCTTGATGGCTGCGTGCATCGCATTGCGTTTGAAGGAGGAGGAGCAGGAGGAGGAGTGGTCACTGGCAAGCAGCAGAGTCGGAGCCTCGCGAAGAGAGACGACCTCGCTTCTACAGCGTGCGGGGTAAACGCTCCTCCACCTCGCGTGCACACACACACACACCACCTCTAATACACACACACACACATCTCATACACACACACACATCTCATACACACACACATCTCATACACACACACATCTCTCATACACACACACCACTCACACACACACCACCTCTAATACACACACACACATCTCATACACACACACATCTCATACACACACACACCTCTCACACACACACCTCATACACACACACACCTCTCACACACATACACACACCACTCATACACACACACACCTCTAATACACACACACACCTCTCATACACACACACACACCTCTAATACACACACACACACCACCTCTCACACACACACACCACTCCTCATACACACACACACACCACCTCTCATACACACACACACATCATACACACCACTCCTCATACACACACACACCACTCATACACACACACACCACTCCTCATAAACACACACCTCTCACACACACACACACCTCTCACACACACACACACCACCACTCATACACACACACACCACTCCTCATACACACACACACACACCTCACACACACACCACTCATACACACACACACACCACTCCTCATACACGCACACACACCTCTCACACACACACACACCACTCATACACACACACACCACTCCTCATGCACACACACACCACTCACACACACACACCACCACTCATACACACACAGACCACTCCTCATACACACACACCACCCCTCATACACACACACACCACTCATACACACACACCTCTCACACACATACACACACACCACCCCTCACACACCACCCCTCACACACCACCCCTCATACACTCACAACAACAACAACAATCGCCACTAAGTGGTGGTGAAGTCACCACGACGCTTGTGCCAGGCCATGTGCACATTGAGGCCACGTGAAGTGTCGAACGCCCGCTGGCAGGAGGTCACGGGGCAGACCCAGGTGCCACGGGTCGACTGACTGAGATGACTGGCTGATGCACCACCTGTGCCCCCTACTGTGCCAACCCGCTGTGCTTTAGCCACCCGGCGCTCCGCTCGTTGTTGTGAGCATCGCTCCTCCACCCTCCGATGTTTTTGGTGGTAGTGGTACGCCACTCAAGACATTGATGCATGCACAAGTCGCTCTCCGCTCCTCCACTATTGAGAGACAGTGTTCTTCCTCTTCCCACGAAGAGGTGGCAAAAACCCCACCTGCCACCAGCACACCAACCACAATCACCGTTACCGCCATTGCCATCTTCACCCTCGAGCAACGGGGATGGAGCGAAGCGCGTGACAACGAGCGTGCGACTGGGAATCATGTCGCAGCTGGAGGGGGTGGTGTGACCTGGCCTTGACCAGGTCACTAAAGCAGAGATGTAGGTCTTGCTGGAATTCCCTACACATCTGCTGTAGCAGACGGACAGAAAATATCGCATCTGTGCAGGACCGCCCTTTCCTGAAACCGCATTTGGGCTCCGCAAGCCTCTCCTCAGCGTGCCTGGCAAGGCGATGTTGAATAATCCTTGCCAGGACCTTTCCCGGCACACTGAGGAGTGAGATGCCCTTGTAGTTGTTACAGTCTGTGCGGTCCCCCTTCTTAAAGAGGGGGACCACCAGGGCATCCTTCCAATCCTGTGGAACCTGTCCAGTGGTCCAGACTGTTGTTATGATGTTATATAGGGCAGTCTGTGCACAAACGCCACCCTCCCTCAGCATTTCGCTTGGGAGATCATCTCTGCCCGGTGCCTTTCCTGGTCTCAGACTCTGGATCGCCTTCAGTGCTTCCTCAACAGATGGCACCTCAGCCAGCCACTCACAGGGGGTGACTTCTTCCAATATTTGAGGCACCGCAGCCTCAGCAGGGTCATCCCCACTTTGTGCCATGATGTTTTCCTGGCTGAGGGATTTCCCCTCCTCCAGGACCTCACAGAAATGCTCAGCAAATCTGCAAACCGGTTCCTGGGGGTCGGAGATTGGATCACCGTTTTTTCCCCTAATGTTGGTAATAGGTGTGGCGCTGCAGGTTGCTTTTTTGATGGAGTTAAATAGAGATTTGTGATCACGGGCCACTGAGGCAGACTCCATCTCCTCAGCAACCCACGACCACCACCCATCCTTGCAGCGCCTCACAGCTCTCCGAACCTCCGAGCGAAGGCTGCGGTAAGCCTCCTCATTCTCTGACGTGGGATTCTGTAGCCGATGACAGTGGGCCTGTCGCTTTTTCTAAACTATCCTGATCACCTCCTCTGTCAGCCAGGGTCTCTGGGGAGGTCTGGACTGCGTAACCAAAGCAGCCAATGCAGCTGCATGAGTCACAGTCCTAAACCTCGCCCAGTTACCCTCGACATCAGGAGGAGTGGGGGACGATGCCAACCCCAGCCGCAAGCGATGATGAAATTCTCGCTTGCAACTTTCATCAGATAACTGAGACTAGGCCACTTTAGGTTGGAATGGGGTCCTGGGTGTACACCCACCACTGGAGTGGAAGAATGGCAGGCGCATCTCACAGATGACTAGTCGATGGTCAGAGGGCAGATCAGCTCCACGGTAGGTCCTGGTGTCAAGGACATGGGCTCGCATCCGCTGATTCGTCACTATGTAGTCCAGCAGATGTTCTTGCTTGGACCCGGCATGCATCCATGATGTTGTGTGGATGCGCCAATGCCGGAACAGCGTGTTGGTAATTACAAGCCCATGGGCTGAACAAAAATCAAGCAGCCTCCTACCGTTGTTATTGAGCTGATCTGGCCCATGCCCTCCAATCACTCCAGACCAGGTGCCAGCATCATGACCAACTCGGGCATTGAAGTCACCAAACAAGATGACTCTATCCGGAGGGGCCACTTTAGCCAGCACCTGTGACAGGTCATAGAAGGCATCTGACTCATCGGCTTTGCCTGCATCCCTCCACGGATGTTCGTCTTCGGTGGGGCATAAGTAACCACGACCACCACTCCTCGTCTCCGGTTGATGGGAAGGCGAGCCCAAAGTAGCCTGGGGCTTACAGCTTCCCACACCTCATCACCACGCTCCCACGCCCCCTTCATTCTTGTGTTCAAAAGAAGAGCCACACCCTGTTGTTTGGCAGTCTGCTGCCTCGAGTAGAGGACTGTCCACCCCTCATTGTGGCAGGAGCCAGAACCGGTCCACCGGACCTCCTGAATGCCACAGAGATCCAGGCGGTACCGGTCCAGCTCCCGACAGAGGAGTGGCAGCCTCTCCATAGCAGTGAGCGTTCGAACATTCCACGTGGCCACACGAAGTGGCTTTTCGTTGTTTCTGGAGGAGACCCGAGGGTAGAGATTCAATCTCCTGGCTCTGCCAATTGGGGTTTGGCCAGGAGACGTCATAGACGCCTGTCCCCCCGGGGCCTCCGGCACAAGCTTATTAGTTAAATTTTTTATTCGTAGTTTCGTGGTAAAAATGTTGAAGGTGGAGGGGTTACCGGCCCCTCGTACCCGTCCAGAGCCCCCGTTTAGCCACTGTGGTGGTCACAGACGCCATGAGAGGAGGGGCCAATCGGAATTGGCCCTCCCCCCACAGCACTGTCCACGACAGAGTTTCCCGTCCGGCACCGCGAGGAGGTAGGGGGTTGTTTTGCCGGACACTCACACACACACCACCCCACACACACCACCCCTCAAACACCACCCCTCATACACTCTCACACACACACACACCCTATGCACGGTTAATTTCGCCGTTGCCACCCACAGTGAAGATGCCGGGCTTCAGGCTGTACATTGACCCACACGACTACGACGAGCCCAGCGATGCTCTCCGCGAGTTCGCGACGGAAATCGACGCCTCACGAATCAAACTTGGACGCGTCATCGGAGCAGGTGAACGGGGGGGGGGGGGGGGGACGGGGGCGGGCACGTCTGTACCGTGGTACCCGTTAACTAAAACTTACTCATAGGGTGCCCACTTCAAATGTTGACACTGCTGAGAATTTGCAACGATGCCGCAAGAAATGTTTGTGCCTCCGGGGCTCTGGAGACCGCCTGGAGAAGGTTCCAGGCGCACGGTGACAACGACGGCGAACGAGTGGGACAAACTCTTTGACTTTTGGAAGCTATTAACGTTACATTTGTTATGTTTAACACGTAGGCTTTCGCGAACCCAGATCATCCATACGTGACAAGCCTTACTAGTTGGCTGTGTCGGGTGGTGGCGAGTTTAACCATACATTTATACATTTACGTGCACTAACCAGAGAAAAAAAATCTCCATTATGGATTTGTTATCATGTTACAGCGTAGTATTATTATTATCCGTTCTCTTTCCATGAAAAACCAATAGTCCAATATAAGTGTTAACATTTTCTTTGGTTCTTTCGGTAAAGTCACGTAGAATGAGAATAAAATAATAAATTGATAAAATAAAATAACACAATAATATTCTCACGACGTTTCGGCCACAACACAAGCGGCCTTCGTCAGGTGAAGGGGACGAGACTGTCTTGCTCCAGCGCTGTCCTCCAGACAGTCTCGTCCCCTTCACCTGATGAAGGCCGCTTGTGTTGTGGCCGAAACGTCGTGAGAATTTGATTGCGTTATTTTATTTTTTCAATTTATTATTTTATTCTCATTCTACGTGGTGGTGACTTTACCGAAAGAACCAAAGAAGATGAATCCTCGCAGTCACGAAAGCTTCAAATCGAAAAGTGTTAACGTTGTTTTGAAGCACCCCGTCGATTGCCGTGGGTTCACACTCCCCAACGCATGCACCACGCAGCGACCGGCCAGTGCACAACCAGCAACCAATCGGCACGTTTTATTCACGTGACGAACCTTACTTAGCAGCTGGACGGGGGGGGGGGGGGGGTCCTCACACCTGCTCTACGTGCTGCTCACTGTCATCGACCCCTCGGCCCGCAGGAGAGTTTGGGAAGGTGCACGTCGGATACCTGAAGCGCCAGGGCAGCAGCGGAGGGGCGGCGACAGTGCGCGTGGCCATCAAGACGCTGAAGGGTGGATCCAGCAAGCAGCAGCAGCAGCAGCAGGACTTCCTGTGCGAGGCGAGCGTCATGGGCCAGTTCGAGCATGACAACATCGTCCGCCTGGAGGGCGTCGTCACCAAGAGTGAGCTTCGAGAACGTCCAATCGATGCCACACGCATTTTAAACAAACTAAAACTGGCAATTAATCTTTGTTCGTTTTTTTTCCGGTAAAGTCACGTATAAATAAGAACTAATAAAATAACATAATTGCGTACGACGTTTCGGTTGCAACGCAAGCAGCCATCATCAGGTACAGAAGAGCAAAATTTAGGAGAGAGGGGAAATACATAACCCCAGATGTATACAACCGAAACGTCGTACGCTATTATGTTATTTTATTATTTCTTATTTATACGTGACTTTACCGAAAAAATACAAAGATTAATTCCTGCAGTCACGAAAGCTTCGAACCAAGTTTAAAACTGGCAAGTCTGTTATGTAGCTGGCTGTCCAGCTGATTATGCCCGTTGTTGTAATCACTGGTGATTGTACTCAGATTGGAAATGTTGTGGATTTGCTCTCCAACACACCGGTGTGGTGTACTTGTATACTACACTATACACACTGCACATTACACTATACACTACACTATACACGACTATACACTACATGCCACTGGTTCTTTACGTTCTACAGATGTAGATGCCACTGGTTCCTCACGTGCTGCAGATGTAGATGCCACTGGTTCTTCACGTTCTGCAGATGTAGATACCACTGGTTCTTCACGTTCTGTAGATGTAGATGCCACTGGTTCTTCATATTCTGCAGCTGTAGATGCCACTGGTTCTTCACATTCTGCAGATGTAGATGCCACTGTTTCTTCACGTTCTGCAGATGTAGATGCCACTGGTTCTTCACGTTCTGCAGATGTATATGCAATTGGTTCTTCACGTTCTGCAGATGTAGATGCAACTGGTTCTTCACGTTCTGCAGATATAGATGCCACTGGTTCTTCACGTTCTGCAGATGTAGATGCCACTGGTTCTTCACATTCTGCAGATGTAGATGCCACTGGTTCTTCACGTTCTGCAGATGTAGATGCCACTGGTTCTTCACGTTCTGCAGATGTAGATGCCACTGGTTCTTCACGTTCTGCAGATGTAGATGCCACTGGTTCTTCACTTTCTGCAGATGTAGATGCCACTGGTTCTTCACGTTCTGCAGATGTAGATGCCACTGGTTCTTCACGTTCTGCAGATGTAGATGCCACTGGTTCTCCACGTTCTGCAGATGTAGATGCCACTGGTTCTTCACGTTCTGCAGATGTAGATGCCACTGGTTCTTCACGTTCTGCAGATGTAGATGCCACTGGTTCTTCACGTTCTGCAAATGTAGATGCCACTGGTTCTTCACATTCTGCAGATGTAGAAGCCACTGGTTCTTCACGTTCTGCAGATGTAGATGCCACTGGTTCTTCACGTTCTGCAGATGTAGATGCCACTGGTTCTTTGTGTTCTGCAGATGTAGATGCCACTGGTTCTTCACGTTCTGCAGATGTAGATGCCACTGGTTCTTCACGTTCTGCAGATGTAGATGTCACTGGTTCTTCACGTTCTGCAGATGTAGATGCCACCACCATCTATTGCGCAGAGGTTGAACCTCTGACTCTCGGTTCAGAACGGGCAACCGGACGTACGAACAGGTTTGTTCGTACCTCTGAGAGTTCGTAAGAGGAACATTCGTAAGTAGAGGAGTCTCTGTGTATGAACCCACAGCGACGCATTTTGGCAGAGATACAAGGTGTGTATGTAACCATGTGATGATGTTACGGTATAAGTCGTGAATGCTGTGCGTGGATTGCTAACGTTTGGTTTTCTTGTCCTCTCGACGAAGGTAAACCTGTCATGATCATCACCGAATTCATGGAAAACCATTCCTTGGATTTATTCCTCAGGGTAAGAAGTGGCAATGCCAAATGATGCGATCATCGGTGTGTTGCAGTCTCACACTCCTCAGCGGTTGTGTGTGTAACTGTCCACAAATGGAGAGCACACGGTGGCGTTGTTGTGTGTGTGTGTGCCGTAGTTCCTACTAACCGGGGCTCCGCTTGTGGTGACAACTGCACGCGTCTGCGTCAAACTTCCTTTGTACCTTACGTAGCCAACTGGCGCGGGGGGGGGGACAAACTAAACACAACAAGCGAGAGTTCTAAACAAATTAGTATAGACAACGATGACTTAAACGCACATAGCAGCTCCCGGAAGAGCATTCCAGACGGCCGCACAAGCAGCACAACGTCACCCAGGCGGCTCCTCATCGCCTCCTCTTCTCCCTCCCTTCCTCTTCCTTCTCCCCCCTCTCCTCCCCCCTCTCCCCCCTCTCCTCCTCTCCTCCCTCCTCTCTCCTCCCTCCCTTCCTCCCTCCCTCCCCACTCTGACCGGGCACGGCGTAGATGAAGAAGGGGCACCTTGTGGTGACCCAGCTGCTCGGGATGCTGCGTGACGTCGCATCGGGCATGGAGTACCTGTCCCGCAGGGGCTATGTGCACCGCGACCTGGCCGCCCGCAACGTGCTCGTGAGTGGCGAGCTGACGTGCAAGGTGTCCGACTTTGGCCTCTCGCGGACGCTTCTACTGGACGCCGACCCCGAGGGAGCGTACACCTCCCGGGTAAGGCGGGGCAGGAAAAAAGAACCGCCGGCGTCGTCAACGGCCGACGTTCGGCCGACGTTCGGCCGACGTTCGGCCGACGTTCGGCCGGAGTCGAGGAGAAGGCAAAGCCGCACCGGCCCGGCGTGTGTCGGCTCGGCGTTACCGCTCCCTAAGGGGCTTCCGTTTTTCGCCGAAAGTACTTGCCGCCGCCGTGCGTCGAGCGAAATGCATTAACCTCACACACACACACGCACACACACACGCACACACACACACACATGCACACACGCACACACACACGCACACGCGCACACACACACGCGCACACACACACGCGCACACACACACACGCACGCACACACACGCACACACACACGCACACACACACACGCGCACACGCGCACACGCACACACACGCACGCACACACACACGCACACATGCACACACACACGCACACACACACACGCGCACACACACACACGCACACATGCGCGGTGAAAGTGCGAACGTGCAGCGTACGGTGCCGTTGTCTTTGGGATTCACGGGTCCACACCGGAGACGGGTTTCTTGATGGTCTCGTCTCGCCGACGTCACACCGGGGAACGACGCCGAGGGGCGAACGGCACGAGGACAACGCCACCGTCGGGGCGTCCGTCGCTCGCGAGGTGGCGGTCCGGCGCGCCGCTCGGCGCGTTGAGGCGGCGCGAACTCGCGACGCCGGCTTTGACCCGGCAAACCCTTCACCGCGTGCTGACGACGTCGGGCCGCGAGAGCCCCGCGTGCCGGACCCGAGGGCGAGGTCCCGTTGTGAATGTTCCCCACCAGGGGGGGAAGATCCCGATCCGCTAGACCGCCCCGGAGGCCATCGCACAGCTCAGGTTCACGTCGGCGAGCGACGTGTGGAGCTACGGCATCGTCGTGTGGGAGGTGACGTCGTACGGCGAACGGCCGTACTGGGACATGAGCAACCGGGACGTGAGTTCAGCACCGGCACCCCTGTGTGTGTGTGTGTGTGGTCTCTGTGTGCGGCTGTGGGTCTCTGTGTGAGTACTCTATGGGTCTCTGTGTGAGTAGTCTATGGGTCTCTGTGTGAGTACTCTATGGGTCTCTGTGTGAGTAGTGTGTGGTCTCTGTGTGTGTGTCTGTGGTCTCTGTGTGCGGCTGTGGGTCTCTTTGTGAGTAGTCTATGGGTCTCTGTGTGAGTAGTCTATGGGTCTCTGTGTGAGTACTCTATGGGTCTCTGTGTGAGTACTCTATGGGTCTCTGTGTGAGTAGTCTGTGGTCTCTGTGTGTGTGTCTGTGGTCTCTGTGTGCGGCTGTGGGTCTCTGTGTGAGTAGTCCATGGGTCTCTGTGTGAGTAGTCTGTGGTCTCTGTGTGCGGCTGTGGGTCTCTGTGTGAGTAGTCTATGGGTCTCTGTGTGAGTAGTCTATGGGTCTCTGTGTGTGTGTCTGCGGTCTCTGTGTGAGTAGTCTGTGATCTCTGTGTGCGGCTGTGGGTCTCTGTGTGATGAGTCTATGGGTCTCTGTGTGAGTAGTCTATGGGTCTCTGTGTGGTGAGTCTATGGGTCTCTGTGCGAGTAGTCCATGGGTCTCTATGCGAGTAGTCTGTGGGTCTCTGTGAGTAGTTTGTGGGTCTCTGTGTGAGTAGTCTATGGGTCTCTGTGTGAGTAGTCTATGGGTCTCTGTGTGAGTAGTCTATGGGTCTCTGTGTGAGTCGTCTATGGGTCTCTGTGTGAGTAGTCTATGGGTCTCTGTGTGTGTGTCTGCGGTCTCTGTGTGAGTAGTCTGTGATCTCTGTGTGCGGCTGTGGGTCTCTGTGTGATGAGTCTATGGGTCTCTGTGTGAGTAGTCTATGGGTCTCTGTGTGGTGAGTCTATGGGTCTCTGTGCGAGTAGTCCATGGGTCTCTATGCGAGTAGTCTGTGGGTCTCTGTGAGTAGTTTATGGGTCTCTGTGTGAGTAGTCTATGGGTCTCTGTGTGAGTAGTCTATGGGTCTCTGTGTGAGTCGTCTATGGGTCTCTGTGTGAGTAGTCTATGGGTCTCTGTGTGAGTAGTCTATGGGTCTCTGTGTGAGTAGTCTATGGGTCTTTGTGTGAGTACTCTATGGGTCTCTGTGTGAGTAGTCTATGGGTCTCTGTGTGAGTAGTCTATGGGTCTCTGCGTGAGTACTCTATGGGTCTCTGTGTGTAGTCTATGGGTCTCTGCGTGAGTACTCTATGGGTCTCTGTGTGTAGTCTGTGGGTCTCTGTGTGAGCAGTCTATGGGTCTCTCTGTGAGTAGTCTATGGGTCTCTGTGTGAGTCGTCTATGGGTCTCTGTGTGAGTAGTCTATGGGTCTCTGTGTGAGTAGTCTATGGGTCTCTGTGTGAGTAGTACTCTATGGGTCTCTGTGCGAGTAGTCTATGGGTCTCTGTGTGAGTAGTCTATGGGTCTCTGTGTGAGTACTCTATGGGTCTCTGTGTGTAGTCTATGGGTCTCTGTGTGAGTAGTCTATGGGTCTCTGTGTGAGTAGTAGTCTATGGGTCTCTGTGTGAGTACTCTATGGGTCTCTGTGTGAGTAGTACTCTATGGGTCTCTGTGTGAGTAGTACTCTATGGGTCTCTGTGTGAGTAGTACTCTATGGGTCTCTCTGTGAGTAGTCTATGGGTCTCTGTGTGAGTAGTACTCTATGGGTCTCTGTGTGAGTACTCTATGGGTCTCTGTCTGTAGTCTATGGGTCTCTGTGCGTGTAGTCTATGGGTCTCTGTGTGAGTAGTCTATGGGTCTCTGTGTGAGTAGTACTCTATGGGTCTCTGTGCGAGTAGTCTACGGGTCTCTGTGTGAGTAGTACTCTATGGGTCTCTGTGAGTAGTCTATGGGTCTCTGTGTGGGTAGTCTATGGGTCTCTGTGTGAGTACTCTATGGGTCTCTGTGTGAGTAGTCTATGGGTCTCTGTGTGAGTACTCTATGGGTCTCTGTGTGAGTAGTACTCTATGGGTCTCTGTGTGAGTAGTACTCTATGGGTCTCTGTGTGAGTAGTACTCTATGGGTCTCTGTGTGAGTAGTACTCTATGGGTCTCTGTGTGAGTACTCTATGGGTCTCTGTGTGAGTAGTACTCTATTGGTCTCTGTGTGAGTAGTACTCTATGGGTCTCTGTGTGA